TGGGGTGGCCGGCTCCATCCTGGCCTCTCCTCTCCACCTGCTGCTTACCTGCATCCCTGACATCTTCTCTGGAGGTTGGGGAGGGGGGGATGAGAATCTCACAGGGGGGACACGTCGCTCGGTACCATGAGACCTGGAGGGGGAGAGGACGACTGAGAAGCAGGCAGGGCGAGGAGGGGCGTACAGGGATGATGCACAAGGACAAGCCCCCCCATGTCCCCCCTGCAAAGGACAAGCATCTCATCTCTTCTACCACCAAGGCGGCAACAGGTCCTGTTTCCAAAGTATTCCCAAACCCATGGGAAAGCGGCAGCTCCAGGTCCCCTCTGGAGCTGGGGACTCGACTGGTGCAGAGCTGCTCACCTGGATTATAAGTATTATAATTATAAGGTATTATAATTATTAGGTATTATTATGAGTACGGATGCGGCTCTGTAGGAGCGGAGGTTTTAGGTGCTGCGCGGCCACGGCAACGATCCAAGGCAAAAATCAGAATGGTATAGAGTGACAGTGCCCACAGCACCAAAGGGGAAACTGAGGCACAGGGCAGCAGCTCCCCCACGCCTCGGCCAGCATCCTGCTCCCAGCGCCGTGCTGCCCTCCCGGCAGCGCCCCGAGGTCCCAGGCTGGGTCGGCTCCTGCCCCGGGGCGTACCACCCCCTCCTGTATCCTCGCCGCATCGACCCCCGGGAAGAGATGAAGTCAGCAGCTCCGGCGGCAAACCCGGCTTTCTTAGGCCGGGGCGCTGGGGGGCACGGAGCGGGATGCGGGCAGAGCACCCCTGCCCGCGTGCCCCAAAACCACCCGATGCATTCATTAACTCATCGTTATCGGTTCGGGGGCCACGGGCGGTCACCACTCCCAGCCCCGTTGTCAGCAGCTCAAAATATTTTGGGAAGGAGGAACTGAAACGAGGGGTAAGGGCGGCAGAGACGGGAGGAGGAAGAAGATAAGGGGCAGAACCGCAGGGAGGAAGAGAGCGGGTGAGAACGTGGCCCCGTTTCCACCGCAGCCGTGCCAGGACATCTCCGGAAAAGGCGTCACGCTCCCACCGCCTCCCTCACCTTCCCCCGGAGCGGGGACGTGCCACAAATTGCTTTATTTTTGCCATCAGAGAAGAGGAATCGAGGCTCAGACGCTCGCCCCGAGGACAGAGTTTGGGGACCTGAAGTCGAGCGCTGGGGTTTCCAGTGACGTCCATCACCGCAGCGCCTGGGCCCCGCGTGTCGGGTCCAGCCGGGCCCCGTGGCACCCCAAACCAACGCGA